AAAAAAAAAATCCATAGTTCCCTATGGCTACCATAACAAATTACCACAACTTTAGTGGCTCAAAACAACGCAGATGTATTTTCCTCCATTTCTATAGGCCGCGCTCTGAGCTGGGTCCTGCAGCTCTGTTACTTTTGCAGGCACTGTAGGAAAATCGTTACCTTGCCTTCTGCACATCCTTGATTTATGGCCCCATATCATTCTGACATTAGCGTCTGACCTCACATATCCTTTCCCCAGTCCTGACTGTCCTTCCTCCTCTCGTGTTTACAGGTAATCCATCATAGTCTCCCCACTTCAGCATCTAACTTAATCATCCTTTTGCCACATAAGATAACATTAACAGGTTCCAGCAATTAGGATATGGCCATCTTTGGGGGAAGAGTAGTTATTATAATGTGGTGAGCATTATTCAGCCTACCACATTTGGAAACCTTTATCTGGCCACATTTTGTTTGTTTTTAAAGTTTTTGCCATAGGGTATGTACACTTGATAGAGAAATAGAGACAGTGAAAGGGAAAGTGAGAAATGACCCCCACCAGGACCAGCAGTTAGCATAATGGCTATGTCACTGGACTCCCATGTAGTTGACCGCAGTTCGCGTCCCGGACCCAATGGCTTAAACTCACGCCAGGCGCGTATGTGTGCGTGCCCATGATCCTGAGAGGAGAATGGAGGAGAAGGGATTGTGGCGTAGCCATCCCCCCTGGGGAGTGATTTCTTGCTTTCTGTCTCTCTGTCTCTCTCTGTCTATCTGGCGAGCGCACGCAGCCTGTAGCAAAAACCTCTCCAAAAAAAAAAGAAAAGAAAAAAAAAAAGAAATGACCCCCACCAGGGGGGCTGGCTACAACACAATCCATTCTCCTCCATTCTCCTTTCAGGATTTTCCACATGCATGCACACACACCCAGCGTGATTTTCAAGTTGCCAGATCTGAGACTTGAACCATTGTCAACCATGTGGGAGTATAGCACCTTAACTACTATGCCACCTGCTGACCCAGTCCAGGTTTTTAAACATGATTGTTTGATGTCACTTAATACTAGGGTGAAATGAGAATGGAACAAAACACATCTTTTCGTGTAACTAAAAGCAGGTTACCAGAGGCATTGTGTGGTCTCCACATTACATCATTGTGCCACACTGCTCTGCTGTACTCTCTAAACTTTCCTTCAGGTGAAATGACGATAAGGCATCAGGGGCTGCCCCAAGGAAAAAAGAACAGTGGCGTTTGTCTCTGAAGGGCATCATGCAGTCAGGGATGTGTGTTTGAGTGATGAGGTATTGTCTGCTTACATATTGAATGTACATCTATCTACATGAACTCCTTTGGTTGTGTTTGGCACAAAACGGTGAATCCCTTCACCCCTCACAGTATGGAACAGTATGAAAACAGTTCTAATCATATAGCTGTCCACTTCGTAATATAGTTCATTTCATTTCAGAATAAAATAGGTACTAAAGGTCTAGTGATGATTAAAAAGATCTGAAATCTAGAGTAAGGGAGATAATCCCTTTAATACAACCCACATTTTGCTACTTTTTACACTGAAAACCTGTGAGGTCAGTCTCTCATAATATTAGTTATCATATTGATGATTTTGACCTGTTAATGGATAGTACTGCCTGCCGGTGGGTCAAGGGGGAAAGTTCTGGTTTCATAATAAGGTGATATAAGGGAATAGAACATAAACTTATCTCCCACACCACACTAGATGAGACAGTAAATGATTTTTGTTTTTATTTTTAATTACCAGGATTGTATCTCTGGGAGCACATTTTTGAGGGCTTACTTGATCCCAGTGATGCGACCGCTCAATGGAGAGAAGGAACGTCAATTGTAGGAAGGACACATTACAGGTATCTGTTGTACAGCATTGACCTCCGATGTGTCACAATACAACATTTTATGTAAATACTGGAAGAAAAATGAGGAAATATATTCATATAAAAATTTTCATTTCGGGGGCCAGTAGGTGGAGTAGTGGACTCCCACGTGGCCGACTGTGGTTCAAGTCCCAGACCTGGTGGCTTACGTTCTCACTTTACCTCTCTCTCACTCGCACTCTTGCTCTGTTCCTCACTGGTCAAATTAAAATAAGTGAATAAAAGTTAAATAAAAATCATTCTTATAAAAAGAATTGTCTAAAAAAATTTTCATTTTGGGAACCAGCAGTTAGCGTAATGGCTATGTCGCTGGACTCCCACGTAGTCGACCACGGTTCGTGTCCCGGACCCGGTGGCTTCAAACTCACGCTGGGCACGTGTGCAGGCATGCCCAAGATCCTGAGAGGAGAATGGAGGAGAAGGGATTGCGGCGTGACCATCCCCCCTGGGGGGTGATTTCTCGCTTTCTGTCTCTATGTCTCTCTATGTCTTTCTGGCGAGTGCACTCGCCCTATAGCGAAAAACCTCAAAAAAATTTTTTTCATTTAAACTTGTGAATAGAAAAATAAATCTTAGGATTAAATATGTATTCATACAAAAGCTTACTTGAACATTTTCTTATAGAATAAGATACTACATAATCAATCTGTTTCATTTGTGTTTGATTATATGGAAATGTTTGTGCTCTGCACCTTGTAAATTTGATTTGTGATGCCCATTTAACATTCCATATCTTGCAGGAATAATACATAAACCTAAAAGTATTTTCATTTTCTCCTTCACATGGTAGTTCTGTTCACTTTTTATGATATTCAGATTGTATCAATGCTATTGTTATCACTTTTGAAATTTTTAGTTATTAAAACATTTCATGGGACAGCAGGTGGTATGATGGCTAAGGCACTGGACTCCCCCATGGCCAACCACGGTTCAGGTTCCAGACCTGGTGGCTTGAAAATCACACTGGGCATGTATATGTTCAAATTTCTCAAAGGAGAATGGGATAGAAGGGACTGTGGTGTGGCCATCTTCCCTGGAGGGTGATTTCTCACTTTCCCTCTCTCTGTCTGTAAAGAAACCACATGTATCGTATAGCAAAGACCTAAAAAAAAACAAAAAAAAAAAAAAAAAAAAAAGTTTCATGGAAAAGTTCTATCATGATTTAATGGTATACATTACATTTTTTTCTGCAGTACTCAGAAAAAAAATTTAATTCAATAAAACCAATGAATTGCTAAAATTTTGTGTTTTTTTTTAACATAAAACTCTTACCCCTGCATTTTAAAAAAAAATCTTTGTGGATAAATAGAAGTTAGTTCTTTTTATTTAGAAAAGTTAATATAATTGTGTAATATGAAGGAATGCTACTTTACAAACTGGTCAGTGGTCTGGTATCTAAAGGAGCTAGATAACCACATGGCCAACTGCATGTACATATGTGTCCAAAGTCCCCGCAGGTTGGAGAAATGAAGAGATTGAGATGTGACAGTGTCCCATTGGAGAGGTATTTTCTCCCTCTACTTCTGTCTTTCTCTAGCCAGTACATGTGCACTCTGATGGGGGAAGAAAAGGTTATTTTGCTTTCTGTTAAAGATTTTTAAGTATTTCATTATGGGACCAGCAGATAATGTAATGGTTACATTGCTAGACTCCATGTACTCAACTACAGTTTGCGACCCTGACCTGGTTGCTTAAAACTCACACCAAGCTCATGTGTGTACATGCCTAAAATCCTGGGCAGAGAAGGGATTGTGGCATGGCGTGACAGTGATTTCTCACTGTCTCTCTCTGGTGAGCACACATGGTCTGTGACAAAAACTAAAACTAAAACAAAAAAAAAGAAGAAAGAAAGAAAGATAATTGGAAGGGAGAAACCTTATTTAACACCTTAATGAGAATTTCTGTGAAATGCCTGGGATGGCCCACTGTTTATTCTTTCCAATCTAGCCAGAGAAACTGGGCACAAAAGAAATAAAAGGTATTAAAATTGAAAAGAAGTAAAACTATATTTGCACATAAGATGATCTTACATGTAGAACACTAAAGAATATATGCATAAAAATGTTAATGATGGGACCAGCGATGGTGTAATGGTTTCATTGCTGGACTCCCACATGGTTGACCGCAGTATGTGCCCAGCAGTTTTAACCTCACATTGGCGTGTGTGCGTGCATGCCCAAAATCCTGAGAGGAGAATGGAGGAAAAGGGATTGTGGCATGGCCATCTCCCATTGGGGGAGGGGTGATTTCTTTTTTTTTTTTCTTTTCTTTATTTGGAGAGGTTTTTGCTATAGGGTGCATGCACTCGCCAGAAAGAGACAGAGAGACAGAAAGCGAGAAATCACCCCCCAAGGGGGATGGCCATGCCACAATCCCTTCTCCATTCTCTGCTTAGGATCCTGGGCACTCACGCGCTCGTGCCCGGCTTGAGTTTAAGCCGCCAGGTCCAGGACTCGAACTGTGGTCAACTACATGGGAGTCCAGCGACATAGCCATTACGCTAACTGCTGTTCCCAGGAAGGGTGATTTCTTGCTTTCTGTCTCTCTCTCTCCAGCAAGCATGCCCCCTATAGCAAATCTCTCTCTATATATATATATACATGTATGTGTATATGTATATATATATTTTTTATTTTAATTTTATGTGTGAATTATATTATTAGAGGGAAAAATGGAAACCAAAGGTTCTGGTTTCTATTGGGATTCCATTTCTTCTCCATAGAAATCAAGAGAGGAAAAGCTATAGATAATCTCAATTTCATTTGAATTTTCACTGCTGCTTTAGCTGTTTATTTACTTTACATACTTAGAAGGCGGTTTTATTGCACATATCTTTTCAAAGGTTCTATACTTGGAAACTAAACAGGTTTTTAAGATCTTTGGTGATAAGGATTATTTTCCTTTTATTTCCAGGTTTCCATTGCTCTATTTCCCTTCAAGAGCTTGTACGTAGTCTGAAACTTAAAATAATTGGATTTGGTTGTTTGAAAGTAAATATGTGCTATGTGTATAAGTCTAACATTTTTATACTGGGGAAATAAACATGGTTGAGGTATTAGTCAAATGACTATCCATAATATTTTAAATGTTTAGGAAAATTCTTAAAAATCTATTTAAAAGTTAGCGTATGGAAGCTTAAAATTATACAGTGGTACTATGATGGTAACAAAAGATTTGCCGACTTCATTCCCCAAAGAAAATCTAATTTGCCCTTTTCTTTTAAAAATTTTAAACAAGATTTTATTTATAAACAAATAGGAATATTTTAAGACAGATTTTTTTTCAGAATTTATTTTTTTTAATTTATTCATCAGTTGTTTTAATTTGACCAGAGAGAGACACAGAGAGAAAGAGAGAAAGTGAGAAAGCAAGCCAGCCAGCCACCAGGTCCAGGATTCAAACCATAGTCAGCCATGTGGGAGTATGCAGCGCCTTAACCATCACACCATCTGCTGGCCCTGCAAATAGTAATTTATTGTTTCCTTTTAAGATTTAAGAGAACTGTGTAGTCAAGAAAGTTAAACCATTCTAGATTTTTAAAAACACCGTTTTAGGTATATGAAAAGTAGCATATATAATTTACTTGTCCAAAATCAATAAACTTTTATGGAATTGTGAATGTCGAGTTGAATCAGATTATAGGAGTACTAACTTTGTTTTTTTGGTTTTTTTTTTTGAGAAAGAGATTTTTGCTATAGGATGCATGCACTCACTGGAAAGACAGAGACAGAGAGAAAGTGAAAAAGCACTCCTTGGTGGGGATGGCCACACCACAGTGCCTTCGCCTTCATTCTCCTCTTGGGATTTAGGGCATGATGCATACATGCCCAGCATGAGGTTTAAGCTGCTGGGTCTGGGACTCGAACCACATTCAACTATGTGGGAGTCCAGCAACTTAACTGTTACACCATCTGTTGGTCCCAACTTTTTTTTTTAATTGCCAGAGGCACATGTATTTGTCAGAGACAGACAGGTTGAGAAAGAAAAAGTACCCCCCTACGGACGTGGTCATGTTGCAGTTCCTTCTCTATTTCTCCATTCTGTCACAATTTGAGGCATGCATACACAAATACCCAGTGTGTTTTTCAAACCACCAGGGCCAGGATTTGAACTGCAGTCAGCCTTGTGGGATCTGGCTCCCTAATCCACTAGGTTACAGGGCCACCAAGTATTAACTTAAATGTTTTATCTTGTTCACCATCCTTATTTGACCAAATGAGAATCAGAAGTAATGGCTTACCTTGAAGATACTAGAAGAGTTGTTAAATCCTTTAATTATATATTTTTTGTAAATAAGATAGTTTTTGTCTAACTAAACCTTTAGGTTTATAAGCACAGATCATTTCATTTTAGCTTCATGATAATTCTAGAGCAGAATTTAAAAAGATATTGCCAGTATTCCAGGGTTCTTCAGACTCAGGAATGTTGATTCCTATCAGCCCACAGTTCCAAAGAATGTAATCCAGAATACCAGCTCAGTAACTCAGAATGGAAACAGACCTCTCAGTCAGGTCACCTGCTTGGATTGGCCTAGTGGGCACATTCTTTCCACACAGGCAGGCTACAAGTAACACCCATTACCTTTGGGTTTTTTGATTAGCTATGGAATCAAAATATGGGACTTATGTACATGTAATACTCCCAGCTCTTATGCTCTAGAAGGTTAGAAATATAATTCCTTGAGGTCAGCATGTGACATGGTGGTAAAGGCACTGGACTCCTACATGGCCAATTGCGGCTCGAGCCCTGGATCTGGCAGCTTACTTTCTCACTTGGCTGGTGAGAAAGTCTCTCTTGTCAAATTAAAAATAGTAATAATAATAAATGAAGGTAAATAAATAATTCTTTTTTAAAACAGAAATATGACTCTTTGTCTACCACTGAAATGAGTAATATCATAGATCATCTATGCTCAGGATATGAACACATGAATATGTGTAATTCAAACTGAACTTCTGAGTCAGCCTGCTGACAGCGTGTCACTTCGAGATGGTAAAACAGTTCAACTGAGTTATTAAGAGCAAACTCTTACGCCAGACTCTCAGTTCAAATTCCAGCTCTACAATTTAACTGACTGGTTATGGACAAATTTCTTAACCTCTTTCTGCCTGGGTTTCCTCAAGTTTAAAATAAGACAAATAATAGTTTCTATTTCACAGGCTTGTTTTAAAAATTAAATACACTAATAAATGTACAGTGTTTAGAACAGTATCTGACACATAGTAATCACTAGAAAAGTCTTACTGTTATTTTATTATTTTTAGTATTACTTCAGTAAGTACTTCAACATCTGCCTACCTCCCAGATCTGTTTATGTTTCCATTACTGTCTAGTATCTCTCCGTCAGGTACTTCTCCACAAATACCTAATGGTGCACTCGTCATATCAGTGTATCCAGTCAGGTTACAAGCTAGCCTGTAACCTGTCCCATGAGGAAATTTTGCCTACTGTTTAGTCTACTACTACTCATATCCATCATGTAATAATTTATAGTTTAATTTCTTTTTTTTTTAGAAAGATTTTTTCTATAGGGCACCTATGCTTTTCAGAGAGACAGAGAGAGAAAAATCAAGAAATCAACCCCCAGGGGGGATTGCCATGCTGCAATTTCTTCTCCATTCTCCTCTCAAGATTTCGGGCACAGACACACATGAGCCCAGCGTGAGTTTTAAGCTGCTGGGTTCATGGGTTCAGGACATATGGGAGTCCAGTGACATAGTCCTTGTAGGGATTCACTGGTCCCCATAGTTTAACTTTATAAGCCAATTTTGTTTCAAATTTCTAAGAAGAAATTATACTTGTGTTCATCATAGTTTTTGCATGTTCCCAGACTGTCTTCAGGATACTATCATTTTCACATATAGGCATTATCATAAGATAAGTATCTACCTATTTGATAAAACAAAGTTAGGTACTAAATTATTTATCAATTCATTGTTACAAGATGCATTGACATTTTCAGTAAGTATCTGCTACTTATGGAAAAGTTGAACTTACTTTCAAAGAACATGATAGAGTAAAATATAGCTGATCCTATTTTTAGACATTACTGTAATCAGATAGTAAGCTCAGTATTTCTCACAATGAGTGAAAGATTTTAGAAGTGATATTAATGGTTACTGATACTACAATTAGATCAAGTGCTGGACCAAATAAAATTTATGTGCTGCCTACAATAACTAACACCTGTGAAATAGTTTAAACTATCTTTCCTCTTAAAAAAGTTAAATATTTCCAATAAAAATAAAGTTTTTTAAAAGATTTTTGTAATGGTCCCCAGTCCATTGTTTTCCTTTCTTCCTCAGAGGCACTCACTCTCCTAATTTGGTATATATATTTCTCTTCAATTTTTTTTATGTTTATAGTCATACCAGATATGTAGCACAAATATTTTTAGATACTTTCAAATTTACCTATAATTATTATATACTGTGAGTATTCTTCAGCTTGCTTTTTCCTTTAATGTTGTATTTTTGAAACCATCTTCATGGAATGCTTATAATTCCATCTTCTGTTTCTCAATTCATCATCCCTCTGTCATCCATTTGTATAGACACTATTCACATGAAGAGTATGCTAGCAGCTCATCCGATAAAATGACTGAGAACTACAAACATCAACCTTTGTGGGTTGGACTACCCCATGATTTGCAGAGTTTTGTGCATTTCAACAGCATCCTACACTTATAGCTTAAATGCTACCCAGAATTTAATTTTCAGTGTGGTAACAATTTTAAAAGCTCCAACTTCTGATAGTTATATATAAGTTGATCTGTCTACACCAAAGTTTCTCATTAATCTATAGCTATACCCTTTCACCATGTGTTAAAAAAACTTATATTGTAGAAGTCTCATTTCTATTAGGTCATTGGGATAGTCATGGCTTCTTTTTCTATGCAAAAATCTATCATGACTTCCCCGACAACTCAGTAGAAAGGATATGGATTCAGTCTCATTGTAGACTTTATGTACAGTGATTAAAAACTTTGATACTGCATACCTCTGTTCGGTTTTAATCTATCTCTTGTTATTGTTTTTAACAGCTTCATCACAGGTCCAGCCGTGGTCCCGGGTTCCTTCTCCATTGAAGAGAATAATGTGGTACTCGTTTTAAATGGAAGAGAAAAAGCAAAGATCTTTTATGCCACCCAGTGGCTACTTTATGCAGAAAATTTAGTGCAAACTCAAAAACTCCAGCATCTTGCTGTTGTTTTGCTTGGGAATGAACAGTGTGACAATGAATGGATAAACCGATTCCTCAAAAGAAATGGAGGCTTTGTGGAACTGCTTTTCATAATATATGATAGCCCCTGGATTAATGATGTGGATGTTTTTCAGTGGCCATTAGGAGTAGCAACGTAAGTACAAAATATTACTAATTTTCTTTTTGTAAAAAAAAAATATATATATATATTTTTTTTAATTTAACTTTATTTATTTATTTACCTTAATTTGACGAGAAAGGACCAGAGTGAGAGAGACAGAGGGGTGGGGGGGGGAGTGAGAAAGCAAGCTGCCATGTCCAGGACTTGCACCATGGTTGGCCCTGTGGGAGTCCAGCGCCCTTAACCACTACACCACTTACCTATTATTAATTTTCTAGACTCTAAGATCCGTGTTGCTGAATAGGAAGATGGTGATTTTAAATTGTAATAAATTTAGTTTGTATGGGCTCATAAAATCTTTTCTGAAAGCAAAACTAGGGTGTGATCTCATGCTTCTTTTAAAACAATAATGTTTGTAGTGTATTTTATCCTTTTATGAGGGGAGAAGATGACTTATTTTCTGGTTTTAAAACCCTGGGACCAGCAGTTAGTGTAATGGCTATGTTGCTGGACTCCAATGTAGTCGACTGCGATTCTAGTCTTGGACCCAGTGGCTTAAACTCATGCCAGGCGTGTGGTGCATGTGTGCCCAAGATCCTGAGAGGAGAATGGAAGAGAAGGAATTGTGGCATGGCCATCCTCCCTGGGGGGGTGAGGGAGTGATTTCTCACTTTCTGTCTCTCTGTCTCTCTCTGTCTTTCTGGTGAGCACATGCACCCTATAGCAAAACCTTCTCAAAAAAAAAAAAAGGCATAGAATGGATTTTCAAGTTACATTGCTGGACTCCTACACAGTCGACCATGGTTCAAGTCCCGATTCCGGTGACTTAAAACTGAAGCTGGATGTGTTTGCATGCATGCCCAAAATCCCAAGAGGAGAATGTAGGAGAAGGGATTGCAGCATGGCCACCTCCCATGGGGGGTAATTTTTTGTTTTCTGTCCCTCTGTCTCTCTGGCAAGGACATACTCCCCCCAAAAAGAGTACCTTAAAGAAATGTTTAGTAGAGAATGACAGACTGTCTTAAAAACAGTGATAGAGTATGTATAACTTACAATTTAAAAAATTAAAGTCAATATTATTATATCAAGAGTACATCGTACTTTTGGATTTGGACCTAACTGAATTTGCACAAATCTCTTCTATAAAAGGAGGAATTACTTAAATGGTAGCAAAGGTTTCTCAGTATATGGTCTTTTTCCAAATATATTTATTTATCTTTTTATTAATAGGTTTTTAATTAGGTTGACTTTAAGGTAAGTTGCCAGGGGACCAGTAGACGGCATGGTGGTTAAGGTGCTGGATTCCACAATTAGAGTTCAGACCCAGGGGATTAGAAAACACAGTAGGTGCATGTGTATGTACATGTGCATATGCGTGTGTGCCCAAAATTTTGAGAGGAGAATGAAGGAGAAGGGATTACGGGTGGCCATTCCCCCAGAGGTGACTGTTCACTTTGCCTGTCTCTATCTTTCTCCAGCAAGCACATGTACCCTGTGGCAACAATCTTTAAAAAAAAAAAAACAAAAACAAACTAAAAAAAAAAACTCTTCTCCCCTTTTTTTAAAAAGAATTATTTTATTTAACTTTATTTATTTATTTTTAATTTGATCAGAGAGGGACAGAGAGAAATGGAGTAAGAGAGAGAGAGAGAGACAGTGAGAAAGCAATCCACCAGATCTGGGACTCAAACCGCAGTCAGCCATGAGGGAGCCTAGCGTCCTTAACCACCTCACCACCTGCTGGCCCCAACATAGAAAAGAAAGAAAAAACAAAAAACAAAAGAAAAAGGTTAAGTTGCCACTACTGCATAAACTTGCTAAGAGCAGGAATTTTTGTCTCTTACTCACTGCTCTATCGGCACCGCCTAAAATAGCACAGGGCAGAGTAGGCACTGGAATGTTTGTTGAGTGGATGAATTATGAAAAATCTCACAGACATGAGTTTCGAATCAGACATCACCATTCGTTATTCACTGTTCTACCACTGGTTACCAGATGTGACCTTAGAAGTCACACGAATGTCACCAATGGTTATCACTGAGGTTCACCAGCCCCAGGATTGCAGCATGGCCACCTCCCATGGGGGGTAATTTTTTGTTTTCTGTCCCTCTGTCTCTCTGGCAAGGACATACTCCCCCCAAAAAGAGTACCTTAAAGAAATGTTTAGTAGAGAATGACAGACTGTCTTAAAAACAGTGATAGAGTATGTATAACTTACAATTTAAAAAATTAAAGTCAATATTATTATATCAAGAGTACATCGTACTTTTGGATTTGGACCTAACTGAATTTGCACAAATCTCTTCTATAAAAGGAGGAATTACTTAAATGGTAGCAAAGGTTTCTCAGTATATGGTCTTTTTCCAAATATATTTATTTATCTTTTTATTAATAGGTTTTTAATTAGGTTGACTTTAAGGTAAGTTGCCAGGGGACCAGTAGACGGCATGGTGGTTAAGGTGCTGGATTCCACAATTAGAGTTCAGACCCAGGGGATTAGAAAACACAGTAGGTGCATGTGTATGTACATGTGCATATGCGTGTGTGCCCAAAATTTTGAGAGGAGAATGAAGGAGAAGGGATTACGGGTGGCCATTCCCCCAGAGGTGACTGTTCACTTTGCCTGTCTCTATCTTTCTCCAGCAAGCACATGTACCCTGTGGCAACAATCTTTAAAAAAAAAAAAACAAAAACAAACTAAAAAAAAAAACTCTTCTCCCCTTTTTTTAAAAAGAATTATTTTATTTAACTTTATTTATTTATTTTTAATTTGATCAGAGAGGGACAGAGAGAAATGGAGTAAGAGAGAGAGAGAGAGACAGTGAGAAAGCAATCCACCAGATCTGGGACTCAAACCGCAGTCAGCCATGAGGGAGCCTAGCGTCCTTAACCACCTCACCACCTGCTGGCCCCAACATAGAAAAGAAAGAAAAAACAAAAAACAAAAGAAAAAGGTTAAGTTGCCACTACTGCATAAACTTGCTAAGAGCAGGAATTTTTGTCTCTTACTCACTGCTCTATCGGCACCGCCTAAAATAGCACAGGGCAGAGTAGGCACTGGAATGTTTGTTGAGTGGATGAATTATGAAAAATCTCACAGACATGAGTTTCGAATCAGACATCACCATTCGTTATTCACTGTTCTACCACTGGTTACCAGATGTGACCTTAGAAGTCACACGAATGTCACCAATGGTTATCACTGAGGTTCACCAGCCCCACTTGCCATTTTCAGTTTTCAGAGACTGTTGACTGCAGTCTTGCTGCTTACACTTACCTGTGCTTATATGCGATTCTTGGCACCCAGCCTCCTGGGCAGAACTACAACTGGGCCGTTGGGCATATTTTGGAATGGTGCCAGAGTTAGTGAACAGAAGATCCTTATGTTGCAGTGTGCTGTGTCCTCTTCATACAGTAGCTTGGGAGAATGCCAGAATTTAATTGCCATCAGATTTCAATGTGAATAAGGACTTATCTGCAGAAAATAATGGCAAGAATGGTTAAGCCTTTTATCCTAGAACACTGAATGAGAGAAACTTCCAGATGCTATTATCTATATTATTGGACTAATGTTCTATAATTAAGATGTAACCATTTAATATTCAAAGAGTTTAATAGTCTGTATCAGCCTCAACACTGTCACTATATTACATTTTGCAAATCTCATTCTTTTGTGTCAGATACAGATTTTTAGTGAGGCATGTTTAAGGTACATGGTAGAAAACAAAATTGGTAAATTTATTTCACTGTGATTTATAAAGGATAAATCTTAATAGAATGAGCCCCATTTTGGGCTAACTGCTTTTCTTTTTTTTTTTTTTTTTAATTTGTCATACAGTGTGTGTACTTACTGGAGAGAGACAGAGAAAGAGAGAGAGAAAGTGAGAAAGCACCATCCCCAGAGGTAGGGAAGTTGTCGGCCATGCCACTGTTCTTTCTCCTCCATTCTCTTGGGATTTTAGGCAGGCATCCATGCAAGCCCAGCGTGGTTTTCGGACTGCCAGGTCCAGATCTCAAACCACATAGTAAGCCATGCGGGATCCAGCCCTTAACCTTCATGCTAACAGCTGGCCTCCTGTCTAGTTTTTTCTATTGAGGGAAAAAAAAGTTCAATTTGTTTTGCTGAGGATCACAGTCATATTTCATAATTTTTTTTTTGGCCATACCATTTTGGTCATTATTCAGAGTATACCTACTCTTAGCAAACTCTACAGTCTATTGTAGGTATCTAAAATAGTTAATACAGGCCTGTGCAATTATAAAGAGGGAAAATCAAAAGCAATGAGTAAAAGTAAAGGGGGAAATAAATGAAATGTGACTTAAAAGTAGTATCGGGAAAATGTTCACATTTAACATAGGAAGGTTTAGAATAGCCAACTGGTGTAATAAGCCTCTCAAAACTCTGATCAAGTATAGATAGATGTCTTAAGAATAAATTTTACTGGGACCAGTAGATAGTGTAATGATTACATCTCTGGATTCCCAAGTAGTCAACCATGGTTCGAGCCCTGGACCCAACAACTTAAAACTCATGCCAGGCATGTATGGGTGCATGCCCAAGATCCCAAGAGGAGAATGGAGGAGAAGGGATTGTGGTGTGACCATCCCCCCTGGGGATGGGTGACTTCTCACTTTCTGTCTCTCTGTCTCTCTCTGGCAAGTGCATGCACCCTATAGCAAAAATCTCTCAAAATAGAAACAAAAACAATAAATTTTACTATCTAACTGTTGTTCTCTGAAAAAGACATTCTTAGAATAAAAAGAACAAAACAGAATAATTGTAGAATGATCGTATATGTGTGCTTTGTTCTTTTTAGTGTTAGGTCTTCAAAACAATGTTTTTAAAGAATTGTTTTATTTAACTTTATTTACTTATTTTGATTTGACCAGAGAGTGTGAGAGAGAGAGAGAGTGAGAAAGCAAGCCACCAGGTCCGAGACTTGAACCACAGTCGGCCATGTGGTGGTCCAGCACCCTTAACCACCATGCCACCTGCTGGCCCCTAAAAACAAAATTTTTTAAGACCAGGTATCACTATCATGACCCTCCAGCCTCAGCCTTTGGAGTATCTAGGACTACATGCTTCCACCACTGAGCCCAACTGTTTATGGTGGGCTAGGAATTGAACTTGGGCCTGCCATGTAGCCTTGGGCTGCTGAGTAGAGTGTTTCAACACATACTAGCATGGTTAGGCCAAAACATTTAATTCTCCCAGATGAACCACATTTTTCTGTTTTATGGGTTTTTTTAGATTTTTTGCCATAGGGCACATGCACTCACAGAAGAGAGAAGCAGAGAGAAAAGGAAAGTGAGAAATCATCTCCCAGTGGTGATGACCACACCACAGTCCCTTCTTCTCCATTCTCCTCTCAAGGTTTTGGGTGCACTAGCACACATACCTGACATGTTTTTCAAGCCACCAGGTCCAAGACTCAAACTTTACAGCTGCCCATGTGAGATCTGGATCTTAACAACCACACCACCTGCTCCCCCTTGTTCTGTTTTTAATGCATCACTTTAAATCTAAAACAAAACAAGACAAAATGAAAAACAAAGGTCATCAGTGGAGCATGTTAATAAGACATCTGCCCAAGCCTACTCCTACAGCATTCTGACTCAGTAGGTTTGGGGTAAGAACTCAGTCACTTGTTTTGTTTTTTTAAGGTTTTTACCATAGGGTGCATGCACTCCTTGAGAGAGATAAAGTCAGTGAGAAAGAAAGTGAGACATCACTCCCTAGGGGGAAAACCGCATTGCAGTCCCTTCTTCTCCATTCTCCTCCTGGGATTTTGGGCAAGCAAAGTCACATAGCCGGTGTGATTTTCAAGCCACCAGGTCCGGGATGCAAACTGTGGTCAGCCATGTGGGTATCCAGCACCGTGACCTCTATGGTACCTGCTGGCCCCAGTTCAGTCACATTTAAGACCCTCTGAAAAAATCTATCCTTTGGGAAGAACCCATATTTGTAAACCATTTTGAAACATTTTGCTTTTCCCCAGTGACACTACATAACCTGTTTCTATAATGTAAGATGGAGAGTGGTCATTCTAGTGTTGTTGGACTACATCAGTGGTTCTGAGCCAAGAACATTTTTGCCCTCCCAGAAGCCTCTGGCAATGTCTGCAGACAGTTTTGGTGTGACAACTGGCATCTCGGGTGGAATCCAGGGACTGCTAAATACCTCACAATGCACAGGACAGCCAGCACAACAACAAAGGATTTGACCCCAAATGTCAGCAGTGCTGAGGCTGAGAAGTCCTGTTAACAGATGAACTGTTAGGTACGGTTATGCTTCCATGTGAAGATTGTGTCTCAGGCATATGGTCTGATCCCTATTACTGTCACATGTCCACAGGAATGGACCACTTGGAGCAGGCCTCTCCTGTATGGCCTACAAGGTTTTACATGTACTTGGAGAGCCTTTGGAGTTAATTTTTTAGAGCTCTTTGTGATAACAATATGTATTTTGAAATCTTTATTTTTCTATTTATTCCTTTTTTTAAAAAAAAAGTTATTTTATTTAACTTTATTTATTTATTTAGTTAGTTAGTTATCTTCGACCAGAGAGAGACAGAGCAAGAGTGAGAGAGAGAGAAAGCAAGCCACCAGGTCCGGGACTCAAACCACGGTCAGCTATGTCAGAGTCCAGCGCCCTTAACCACTACGCCATCTGCTGGCCCCTATTTTTTCCTTTTAATTGATACATAATAATTATATGTGTTTGTGGAGAACAAAGATATTTTGATATATGTTTCCTGTGTGAAGTGATTGGATCAGGTTTATTGACGAATTCAACACCTCTCATACTTTTTGTTATTTTGTGGTGAAAACATTTAAAAATCTATTCTTTTTTCAATTTTGAAATATGCTATGCATTATTATTTATTATAGTCATCATTCTACACAGTAGATCACTAAAGTTTATTCCTCCTGTCTAAATAAAACTTTGTTCACTTTGATCAACATCTCCCCTTTCCTCAGTAATACCCTCCCCCACATTATTCTGAAATCTTTTTATCACCTGATTAAAACAATAGCTAAATCAAGATCATTATGAATGTTGAGGAGCCTTTATAGTTAAAAAGTCTTGAGTTAACATACCTAACAATTGCAGGTGCATAACTTTAGTCATAAAATCAGAATTTTGTAAGAGATGTCAGTTTGAGGTTCTCTTTTCTTTTTTCAATCAGTAGATTCAGGGAGTTTTACAAAGTAACTATGGAAAATTATGATTGGAGACTTAGAAGTCATAATTTATCTCTCCTCTATACATCCTGTTATCTAAGAGGTGGGGTTTGGGGGATTTTGTTGATCCCATGTCTTATATGAACTCATACTTATTTTTATAGGTATCGGAATTTTCCTGTGGTGGAGGCAAGCTGGTCAATGCTGCATGATGAAAGGCCATACTTATGTAATTTCTTAGGAACCGTTTATGAAAATTCATCCAGACAGGCACTTATGAACATTTTGAAACAAGATGGGAATATTAAACTTTGTTGGGTTTCAGCAAGAGAACAGTAAGTTCTATATTTTCGTGATTCATTCACTTGGTCCTCTTTTGAGAATCACTTTATGTTGAAAGCACAGAAGGTTCCCAAAGAGCATTGTTAGCTCCATTTATATCCGTTTTCCCACAAGATGCGTTAGTAATTTAAGTGTGAAAAGACTGAGTTGTATACATTTAAAATAGGGAGAACCTCCTCCAGCTATAGTCCATTTTGAAGAGGACTGCTAATAATTGTCACTTGGCAACCTGTCAGTTGAGTCTGATAAAAACGCGTCAGTCATGGCGTCCTTCTGTGACAGAACCCACTGTGACCAGTCAGACCTTCTCTTCTACATCCCCCATGGTTAATCTGCTTCAGCCAGCTTGGCACTCCTACTGCGCCTCAACCATGCCAAGCATATGCTACCTCGTGGCCTTCACTCATGCTCACTCTATTCTCACTCCGTTCTCCCTGCCCCAGGTCTGATGGCTGCTCCCTCACCTCCAACTTAGTGCTCAGATGCCTCTTCAATGAAACAGTCTTTGATAACTACCCCTTCAGAAACTCCCTCCCCATGTCTCATATTTTATCTTTCATTACAACATTTAACATTTCATAAATTGACTATTGATTACTATCCATCTCTAAAACTAGAACTAGAACATAAACTGTATGAGGACGTGGTAGGGAGGAGAACACCTGGCACTCAGGAAACACAGGTTGAATTAATATTAGTCATTCAGAAGTTTTATGGTAACTACATACTGAGATTTGAGATTTCTCTTATGCCTGTCAGCTCTATCATGTGTTCACCACTTCCTTTAACATGAATGAGATGCAATCTTTTCTTTCACAAAATATATGCTCACTGAAGTGAAAATAACAGTCAATTTTTCTGACTTTCTAGATGGCAGCCTCAGGAAACAAATGAAAGTCTTAAGAATTACCAAGATGCTTTGCTTCAAAGTGATCTCACGTTGTGCCCAGTAGGAGTAAACACCGAATGTTACAGAATATATGAGGCTTGCTCCTACGGCTCCGTCCCTGTGGTGGAAGATGTGATGACAGCCGGCAGCTGTGGAAACGCATCCGTTCACCGGAATGCTCCACTGCAGTTACTCAAGTCCATGGGTGCTCCCTTTATCTTTATCAAGAACTGGAAGGAACTTCCTGCTCTTTTAGAAAAAGAAAAAACTTTAATTTTACAAGAAAAGATTCAAAGAAGAAAAATATTACTCCAGTGGTATCAACGTTTCAAAACAGAACTAAAAACAAAGTTTACTAATATTTTAGAAAGTTCATTTTTAATGAATAATAAAGGTTAACTGTTAATTCTCTTTTTGAGCAGAAATCTGGTTTTTCAAATCATTTCTAAAGCTGGTTCTGTGAGTGTGTTCATGTGTATTTACAAATGTGCTTTGAGGCACCTTGGTGAACTCCCGGTTATGTGTGTAATGTTGACTCAGTGTTCCTTTATTGAGCCACACCTGTGTACAAGTAAAAAGTTAAAATGGGACCAGCAGATGGCGTAATAGTTACATAGCTGGATTCCCACCTAGACAAACTCAGCTGAGTCTCGGACATGGTGGCTTGGAACTCACACTGGGCATACGCGTGTGTGTGAGTGCATGTGTGTGTGTGTGTGTGTGTGTGTGTAAGATCCTGGGAGAAGAGTGGAGAAGAAGGGATTGCAGCGTGGCCATTCCTCCTGGGGGCGGGGGGTGATTTCTCACTTTCTCTTTCACTATCTCGCTCTCTCTGTCTCTTAGGCAAGTACATATGCCCTAAGGCAAAAACTTTTTAAAGAAAAACAATTAAGTTAAAATTTTACTCAAACTTACTTCTACAGAGTAGAATGATTTCTGGGCCAGCAGGTGATACGGTGGTTAAGACGCTGGACTCCCACATGGCCAACTGTGGTTCAAGTCCTGGACCCAGCAGTTTGAAAAATCATGCCAGGCACCTGTATGTGCATGCTTAAAATCCCAAGAGAAGAATGGAGGAGAAAGGACTGTGGCCTGGCCATTACCCCTGGGAGCTGACTTATTTTCCTTCCAACTCTCTCTGCTGCTCTCTGATAAGCACACTTGTCCTATGACAAAAAAAAAAAATGACTATTTCAGGTTGCTTTGTTGTTGGTATCAGAGAATTTTATGTCTCAGGAAAAATTGCCAGGTGACAAAATGCTTTACACATTAAATATTTGGTAACATCTACTATGTACCATGAGCCTCACTAAATGTTAGGGATAAAAACATACAAATAAAAACTAGTCCTGTCCTCAAGTGCTCACAGCCTGATGGAGTAGATATTTACAGAATGTTCATGCTAAGAATTCAAGTGACAATTACAAAAACCTGTGGAGATTCAGAGAAAGGCCCATTCAGGGGTACAGCTTTCAGACTTAAATGGAATTTCAAAGATGAATAGATAGGGTAGCATCTTCTAGTAGGGACATTGGGGTAGCTTCTTTTTTACCTCTCCTCTAAGATAACAGAACTAAGAACTTAACAGTCAGCTTCGTTCAAGAGATCAAGGCTTTCTAAGGAGCAGATATGAGCCAGATAGGCCTACATGGACATAGACCATGTACTGCTCAGCTCTCTGCCTTTTGTTATGCCTTTGATTTTTTAGGCATCAGCATCATGCATCAAATAAACCTCTAACTTTATAAATTACCCACTCTCGGTATTTCTGTTAGCAGTGCTATAGCAAACTAAGACAAACCATGAACACCATCTTTTCTGGATACCCTGTAGCCATGACTTTCCATTTGGTTCGTCGCTCAGTGATTGACTTACAACGCGCTCAGCATGTTGCTGATGCAGCTCTGCCCATCTGTAATAAATGGTTGAATATGTACTTACTCAAAGCAGCAGATCTGTATCCATTTGTTCATTCACCCTGAATTTAGACCTCATCTACTAACTGACTCATAAATCTCAAGATGCTTAGAGTCTCTTAGAAGTCTTGCATACAAATAACTAGGGATAGCAACATGGCAAAATGGAAAGTACACTGACCAAGGGCTCCAAAAACATTGGTTTTGAGATCTAACTCTGCCAATATCCAGTTACTTTTTGGACACACACACCCAGCTTTTTGTGCAGGCTGCCAGGGGTGAGAGTGAGAGTCAAACCATCATTGGCCATATGGGATCCAGCTCCCTTAACCACCAGGCTACAGGGCCAGCCTATGAGGACATTTTTACATTACCTACCTTATTTTTTAAGAATTATTTTGACTTTATTTTATTTTTATTTAATTTATTTATTTTAATTTGACCAGAGAGAGAGAGAGAGAAAATGAGAAAGCAAGCTGCTCAAACTATGGTCTGCCATGTGGGAGTCCAGTGCCCTTAACCACTATGCCACCTGCTGGCTCCTACATTCCCTACTTTTGAAATTCTGCTTGGGCATGGATATTCTTTTTTTAATTTTTAATTTTTAATTTTTTTATAGAGAGAGGTTTTTTTGCAATAGAGAGCATGTGCTCAACAGAGACAGAGAGACAGACAGAAAGTGAGAAATCACCCCCGGGGAAGAATGACCTTCACAATCCCTTCTCCTCCGTTCTCCTCTCAGGATTTTGAACACACACGTGCATATGCCTGGCATGAGTTTTAAGCTGCTGGGTCTGGGACTCAAACCACTGTTGACTGTGTGGGTATCCAATGACATAACCATTATGCCATCTGCTGGTTCCCAGGCATAGATGTTCTAATGGCATTGTTTTCAGGTTCTATCAAGCATCAGAATGAACAGCTGAAAAACTTGTTAAAATGCAAATGGTGGGGCCCACCCCCAATTTCTGATTCAATAGGTCTGGGGTAAGGCTAATAAAATGACTTTTAAAAAAAATTTTTTTTTTAATTTGCTATATTCTATACCAGTACATAGCATAGTGGTTAAATTGCTGGACTCCCACATGGCTGACCACGATTTGAGTGCTAGATGCGGTGGCTTGAAAATCATGCCTGGCGTGTGTGTGTGTGTGTGTGTGTGTGTGTGTGTGTGCACGCGCGTACCCAGGATTCTTGAAGGAGGATAAAGAAGAAGGGATTGTGTCATAGTCATCCCCCTCCAAGAGGTGATTTCTCAGTTTCCCTCTCACTGTCTGTTTCTCAGCCAGCAAAGCGCCCCTAAGGCAAAAAAAAAAAAAAAAAAAGAAAAAGAAAAAATTTGCCATATGGAACATGCGCTCACCAGAGAGTGAATGAAAAAGCACCTTCCAGGGGATGAGGCAGGAAAAATCTTGAAAATGGAAGTGGGTAAAGGGATTGGAGCATCTGTCCATGTGACTAGGTAGGAAAATCCAATCAGGGCAGGAAATTCCCCACCTGAGGTAAGGTAGGCAAGATATTAGTGGGGAGTGTCTGAGTAAGTAAGCCACATTTGATATAGCTAATGAGATCAGTCAGTGGGCCCAGCCACACTTGATAGAGCCAATGAGAAAAGAACAAGCAGTAGGCCCAGCCAATGATCAACTGACACAACCTAGATTTAAAAATTATAGGGACCAGCAGATGGCATAATGGTTACATAGCTGGACTCCCATGTGGTGACCAGAGTTTGAGTCCCAGACCCAGCAACTTAAAACTCACACTAGGCACATGTGTATGCATGCCCAAAATCCCTAAAGGAAAATGGATGAGAAGGGATTGCTGCTTGGCCATCCCCCCTGGGACAGGGGGGATTTCTCACTTTCTCTCTCTCTCTCTCTCTCTCTCTCTCTCTCTCTCTCTCTCTCCAGTGAGCACACATGCTCTATAGCAGAAATCTCTCTTAAAAAAAAAATTATAAGCCGAGGCACTGGGCTCCCATGTGGTTAACTGTAGTTCAAGTCACAGACCTGGCAGCTTGCTTTCTCATATTCTCTCTCTGTCTCTATCTGGTCACATTAAATAATAATAATAATAATTACAACAATAATAAATAAAATAATTCTTTTTAAAAAAATTATAATCCCTGGGGCCAGCAGGTAGCATGGTGGTTAAGGCAGCTGGACTCCCATGTAACCAAATGTGGTTCAAGTCCCAGACATACCAGCTTGAAAATTATGCCTGGTGTGGGTGCATTCATGCCCAAAACTCAAGACAGAGAATGGAGGAGAAGGAATTGTGGCATGGCCATCCCCCAGGAAGTGATTTCTCAGTTTCCTTCTCTCTGTCTCTCTCTGGAGAGCACATGCACCCTTTGGCAAAACCTAAAGAAGAAAAGAAATGTATAAACTCCCAGAATGTAATTGTCCACTCAGGCCCACTCCTACCTCTCAGGAGCGTGCTTTCCCTTATACTTAACAAGTTACCTTTTTCTTTTCGCTGTTCGTGTGCTTCACTCAATTCTTTGCCCAAAACACCAAGAACCGGGATATCATCACAAAAGCCACCCACAACAGGGGGACGGCCACTCTGCATTCCCTTCTCCTCCATTCTCTTTTCACAATCTTGGGCGCGCACACACACACACACACACACACACACACACAAACACACATGCCCAGTGTGTTTTTTTAAGCCTCCAGGCCCAGGACTCAGATCACGCAGTCAGCCATGTGGGATCCATCGCCTTAACCACCATACTACCTGCTGGCCCTAAAATATTTAATCAAAGAGATTCCCATGCCACAAATACTTGGAAAAAAAGAGAGAAGGAAAAAAAAAATATATATATATACATATATTCCCTATATTTATCTATAGCTCCATCTGTCTGTAACTGTATTTATCTATTGGGAGATATATCTAGATAAATATATATACCTACATATTATATTCATTTGGGACCTTTCTATATTATACATAACTTGATGGTTGGGTTACAAAGTAGAAATATAGGTGCAGAGTATTTTTATTGTAGTACGCAGTGGAAAGCAGACAACTTTCCTGGTGCAAGTTCAGAATTGTCCACAGGAGGAAACGATAAAACCAGATAACACTGTGGTTTTGACTTTTTGTTTCTGATATTTCTGAAATCATTTAAAATATTTGATTATTATTGAGACAATATCCTTGTTTTTAGAAGCTTCTAATTCTTTAATAAACTAAGTGCAGAATGTTCATTAATAAAACATGTGTAAGTTATTGATTGCAAACCAGAAATGTTGCCTCGTGGGTAATGTAAGGTCTGGGGGAAGGGAAGAGAAACATGGTGGAAACATTTCCCTGGGCAGGAACTTCCTGTTTCTGCATCTGACATGCTATCACCAACAGACTTTCCCGCCCTTCAGCATTTGGCCTGACCACCAAGGCTGAACAGAAACAGGGAACTTCACTGGCCAGACGAGGATCCCTGGTGACCACCTGTTGGACAACGACCCTTTAAGAACGAGCAGCACC